GGCCCGGAAGAAAACAATCCAGGTGATGCGATAGTCACTGCAGCAGGTGCCTTTGTAAAGGGTAGACAGAAGGTGTCTCAGGTTGGCCCTTTTTCTGAGACCTGAAGGATGAGAATGACAGCTTCATGAAAATAATTAAGTGAGATAATGACTTAAAAACAGCATACCTGTCATATGTGCAGAAAAAGATCATAATTTCAAAAGGAACTCAATATTGCTTTGATAATTGACAGCATTTTTAGAATAAGTATGAGAAGTGTGAAGTATTGAACAGCTGCCACACTTTACTGAGTGTCTTGGGGTGGGCTTAATCCCTCTAGATCAGCGGTTGCCAACCTTTTGGGCCTCACGGACCACCAGTGGTCCAAGGACCACCCGTTGGCAACCACCTGCTCTAGATGATTCTGATGTAGCTGTAGTTTGAGGACCACTGGGCTAGAACTGGTTTTCGAACTTGGCAACACATTGGAATCACCTGAAGTGCTTTAAAACGATTGCTACCCCAGAGAGGGTCTGATTTAATTGGCCTGGGTGCTGCGTGGGCTTCGGGATTTTAAAAGAATCTCCCTGGTGATTCCAATGTGCAGTCAAAGCTGAGAACCACTAGGCGAGAAAAGCAGAAAATTCATAATCACAAAGTAAAAAGACTCCATTTTCTTAAAGTAGTCGCACCTGCTTTGCATGGGGAGCAGTGTGTAGGTTCAGTTGGTGGCACACTGTTCAGCCATGCAGTCAGCCTTTAAGTGACCAGAGGACTGGGCTAATGAACACAATGGGGGAGCCCCAATATGGGCAGCCTCTGAGCTACGCCCCCTATTTAACAGGCAATCACACTCTTAACAACACAGGCTGGCTGTTAATTACACACCTTTCAAAAGTGACAGCTTCTGCAGGTGTGAGTAATTAGGGTTTCTTTAACTCCGTTTGAGGATGCCTGCCATTCCCTACTTCCTATAAAACAAATTGCTCATGATTACGTCTTAGACTGGGAAACCATTTTCCAAATTCTTCCTTGTTCAGGGTTTAAAACAAAGGACATATGAAAAAGAAATCAGAGTTAAAAAATACTATCCCAGCTCACAGAATGCATACAATGGGGGATTGAGGTAAGGCGGCAGCAGAATCTCCACTTTTCTTTACGGACTAGCAAAAGAGCCCTAGAACTCGGGGCAAAAGCCACACAATTGTAGTAGAATTCAGGGTTAATATTGGACTAATTCTAGAAAGCATGTTAGCATGTTTTCTTAAAAAAAATTTTATTGATGCCAAAACCGGTTTGGCTCAATGGATAGAGCGTCGGCTTGGGGACTGAAGGGTCCCGGGTTCGATTCTGGTCAAGGGCATGTACCTTGGTTGCGGGCACATCCCCAGAAGGGGGTGTGCAAGAGGCAGCTGATTGGTGACTCTCTCTCATCAATGTTTCTAACTCTCTATCTCTCTCCCTTCCTCTCTGTACAAAATCAATAAAATATATTTAAAAATTTTTTTATTGATTTCAGAGAGAGAGAGAGAGAGAAACAGCAATGATGAAAGAGAATCATTAATTGGCTTCTCCGGAATACCCCACACGGGATGAAGCCCGCAGCCCGGGCATGTGCCCTGACCAGGAATTGAACTGTGACGACCTGGTTCGTGGGTTGATGCTCAACCACTGAGCCATATCAGCTGGGTGCATATTAGCATTTTTCGAAAGAAAATTGGTCGCCCCTAAAATTAGGGAAGGAAAGTCACTAACCAGTCTTCCCCAAGCGCTGGTGCTGGCAGGGAAAGCTGAGTTAGGCACATCCAGCTGCTGGAGGGGAAGCCAGGGAGCGGCTAGGAAGAAGTCTGGGGAGGTCATTGCTTCTATGTTGCTATTACCTCTGAGCTCAAGCCAAGCACTTGGTGATGAACGGGGGCTGCTGTTGGTCAGTAGAGCTGGCAGACAGAAAGGAGAGCTGACTTGTAGCAGGAAAGAGGACAAGGTAACCTCCGACACCAGCTGTCTTTCCACCTCTAACCTCAGCGATCTTCAGAGTCTCAGTTGCTGCTTCCCTTCTGCCTTCCAAACTTTGCACAAATCTCCCTTTTGGAGCCAACTGCAACCCAGAACCATGCAGGAAGAGAATGATAGGAAACACTGTTCCAGCTTAGCCAAGTTGATGCAACACAAAACTCTCAGAGTTATTGATATTGGAAAAACCTCCAAACCCACTTGAGGGTTTTGGTTAGAAGCCCCAGCAAACTATCTTTGTACAACCTGGCAAACCTTGTTATAACACCTGCTTCCTGAGCAAGGACTAACGCTGGGAAACTGGCCCGGCCGCCAGTGCAGAGAGCAGAGGCACAGGTGGGTCCATTGGGCTGCAGCCAAACAAGGCAGCTACGTTGGTCCTTGATGGCAAATGAAGGGCATTGAATGGACCGTGAGGTTCTTCTTCTCAGGACTGGATTCTGACAAATGGCTGAGTCCACTGTTGTCTTAACCTTTAAACAATGAAAGACTTGTCTTAAAGGATTAAACTTTGCATCATTTTGGGAGCCAGTGGTGGCCGTAAAGCAAAGCTGTTATCCTTGAGCCTGAAGTAGCTGTAGGGCAGCCGAACTGATAGTTGGGAAAGAGGCTGGGTGGCTCTAAATTGCATTCAGAGCCCAGGTCTGTTCTCACATATCCTTCCCTCTTCCTCAGACCAGCGGACTAGCCAGAACAGAGGTGCAAGGACCAATTCTCACTGTGCATGCACACGTCAAACCTTTGCTTGCATCATGTCTGCCAACGTTCCATTGTCCAAAACAAGTCACGTGGCCCAAAGTCAAGGGTGCATGGAAGTGGAGAGAGAAAAGGGGTAAATGATTCTGAAAAGTAGCCTTTCCATCCCACTCATTAAATGACACACTTGGAATCTCAACCCAATACTTGTGATTCCAAAACCCTTTTTTCTCCTTGTGTGGCAGTGTTTGAATAACAGAAAACCTTCCCAAATGATAAAAATGGAAGCAGTTAAAACATTAAAACAAGTCATCCACCCTCATCTTGCTGGCCAAGCATCAGACAGTAGCCCCGTGGGATTAATTTTTGCTACATTTGCTTTTTGAGATGAAGAAGGCTTCGGCTATGGTTTTCATATTCAAATTCAGAACCACACAACTCTAGTAATAATAGGCTCATATTTTCAAAGTCTGTCAAAAATACCACTTGAAGAAATTTATTAGCTCTAATTATAGAGAGAAATGGGGCCAGGTGCTCACACAGTGTCATTAAAAGTGAGATGTGATGCCCATAGGACTCTCTGACTACCCACCTTACTCCGTGTCTGCTTCCAGGTTGCTGGAACTTGATGGTGATTCATTTTGAGTGTTTTTATGGCAATTCTCTAATACATTTCAATGGTATCCAGCAGTTTGTAGCTAGACTATTTCAAATCAGGTGAACAGCTCTCACTCTTAAGTCTGATGTGGTCTGCATGGCCATATCTGGAATTTTGAACTTTGGTCCCTGAACAAGTCTGCCAAATATAGCTTATATGTTCCCAGCAAAATGTGGCCTACTCGGGACTTGCCCATCTGGCTTGGCTCAGCACACTACACCATGCTGTGTTGGAGATGGCAAAGTGGAAGGATGAGGGGAGTGGGGAGGACCAGGAAAGTTAGATGTGAAGGATTTTCTGCTTGGAACATTATAAAGATTATTAATAATTACCCCAAAGATGGATAAGCAGTGCCATTCAATCAGCAAATATGGTCCAAGAATATTTTGTTTATGAAAGCTGGGCCTGATCCCTGTGGAAGGGAGGATTTTAAAATATAGGATTATATTACAGAGAATGTATAAGAACAGGATGGATTTTTAAAAATCAATAAGTGACCCAAATGTTTGTGTTGGCAGTTTAATGGCTGGCAACTTTGTTCTCTTTGCCAAACATACCTCTTATTCATCATTAATTTTAAGGAATTACTGCATGGACATAACGAGGCAGAAGGAGCACCTGACCTTGGCCAGATGGCTCTGGGATTTGTGCCTTGCACCATCTGTGGGCTCAGTGGGTCAGGGCCCCGCAGGCAAAGAGGCCAAGGATGGAACTGGTCACTCTCCAGGCTTTGGTCTCTCATCTGTAAAGCAGGAGGGTTTGAGAAATCATTTTGAAGGTCTCTCTCAGCTCCTTTCTGATGTGTCTTTGAGCAGCAAATGACTATTCCTATTCTCCAATGAAGTTGTTCTGCCTGGCCTGCCTGAAGGGGCAACCCAGAAATGACTGGGAGGTGAAGGTGGAGAAAGGACCCCTCTCTAGAATGATTGTGAACTGACAGTGTGGGGCCTGTAGGGGGAGCCAGAGCACCACTAGGCAGACTGTTGGCAGCCCCAGCGCCAGACAGCTTGCAGGAGAGCATGTGCTGTCAAAACCTCTCATGGCTTCTATGTTCTCTTTCCCAAGGGGGCATCCTACTTCAGTCGAATGTCTGGAGAGTTGATATGCACAGGAGAGGAACGTGGGAAATAGATACCTCCTCCTTAAAGGAAGTATTATTTTACCCTGCTGTCCCTTCTGAAAACCCACCATTATTCCCCAAACCACCTCTTTTTTGACAGAACTTTAACGGCAATTTCCCCTCTCTGCTTCGGGCTCAATCCCCAGTATGGGTGTGCAGGAGGCAGTCAAGCAATGATTCTCTCTCTTCCTTCCTCTCTGAAATATATATATATATATATATATATATATATATATATATATATATATATATATATTTGAAAGAAGGAAGGAAGGAAGGAAGGTAGGGAGAAAAAAAGAAAAAGAAAAAAAAGAAAGAAAAGAAAGGAAAGGAAAGGAAAGGAAAGGAAAGGAAAGGAAAGGAAAGGAAGGAAAGGAAGGAAAGGAAAGGAAAGGAAAGGAAAGGAAAGGAAAGGAAAGGAAAGGAAAGGAAAGGAAAGGAAAGGAAAGGAAAGGAAAGGAAGGAAAGGAAAAAAAAAGAAGGAAGGAAGGAAGGAAGGAAGGAAGGAAGGAAGGAAGGAAGACACTTGTGTCTAACAAGTGTCAATACTGTGCTAGGAACTCTGGGTGGAAAGATGTAGAATTTGTTTAGTCTAGTGAGTGATAGTTTTAATCCAGAGTGGTCCATGCTCAGCAGACCTACATACACAGACCCCAGAAGAGGGACACTTAGGCCAGCCTGGGCATTCGGGGAAGACTGCAGAGATAACACATGAACTAAGTCCTGTTTGATAGTGAAAGAAGGAAAGGCATTCTGGGCAGCGAGAACAGCATGGCAAAAGCAGAGACCATAAATAGAGTGTTCTGTTAGGGATTAGGTATTTATTTATTTTTATATATTTTATTGATTTTTTACAGAAAGAAAGGGAGATAGAGAGCTAGAAACGTCGATGAGAGAGAAACATTGACCAGCTGCCTCTTGCACACCTCCTACTGGGGATGTGCCCGCAACGAATGTACATGCCCTTGACCGGAATCGAACCTGGGACCTTTCAGTCCGCAGACCAACGCTCTACCACTGAGCCAAACCAGTTTCAGCAGGGATTAGGTATTTAGAGATGTGCAATGAGTGGCAGCAGGTGAGTCCAGAGGGTGAAGGCCAGTCCAGGCCAGGACAGACTTTGCAGGCTTTGTCCGAGAGCTGAGGCATCATTGGGGCATCATTCTGAAAGTTATGGGGAGCATGGAAAGGATTTTGGAAGGGGAGCACCCTAGCCAGACCCCTTAGACTCTGATTGTAGATTGAAGGTACTTGAATGAATGAACCCGAGGTTCAAGGGAGGAGTCAAGGCTAGGCATTATCGGGAAATAGGTGCGTTATTGTTCACCAATACGTATTTTAAGGGTCACTGAATGCTGGGCATGGTTCCATAGCAATTTTAGAAAAATAATTCTTGTTTACAAATTTAGGCCTATTTTGTGTCCCACTTGGAAAATATATCAAAAGACATATTCGTTGGCTTTCCTGGAATTGTTTTTGAAACATCTTTGTCTTCCCAGAAACCGGAGTACACATATCCAACTCTGTCTGAGTCTGTGCTGACATAATGCAGTGAAGATGATATTTTGCAATTTTTATGGTTCATGGGTGACTCATCAAGGTCATCCAAGCTAAGAGCTCAGAAAACACTTGGGACAAGGACCTAGAAATGTACTTGGTATATCATAGATGTTCAATAAATGTTTATAGGTGTGTTGTTGTTGTTTTTATTATTAATTTAGAAAGTGGCCCTCAGAGTCTAGAATTCACTATCAGTCTAGAGCATTATCACCTGGGTTACTAATAGTAAGCATATCATTCAGGTACTTGACTTTGTAACTTGCAGTCCTCAAGTCCAGCTTGAAATTTGGAATTTGTTACTCTTCTAACTCAGCTCTCCCGGGTATCAGCCAGAATCTATCACATAAAAAATTTATTTATGTAGGTAAGCTTCACTTTCCTCAACTATAGAATGGGAGAATGCAACAGGGTTAATGTTGGTACCTACTTAATTCGCCTATTGTGAAGAAAAGAAGAAATATTGTGAGTGAAGAGCTCAACCCTTGTGCTTGTTATTACTTTTTTTTCTGTCAGTAGGTACATATGTTTGTTCATATCAGTCTATTGTTGCCCAATTAGTGTCCAGACTGTTTTTCAACTTGATTTTTCACCAGCTCTTGAAATGTCATTCATTTGTATGTATCTCAACTCCTGTTTTTTTGTTTTGTTTTCCTTCATGATAGAATCCATGGAATGAAGCATCCAGCCCTGTGGTAGGTGGTAAGGGGAACCATCATAAGCCATATTGAATACAATGTAGGACAAGGGTCATCTTAAGGCAACATATGTCACGTTTCTATCTGGATCACACCCATTAGGCTAGGGCCAGCTGGGTAAGGAGGCTATGCAAGGAAGTGGCAGCTAGGCTGGAGGAGGGTGCTGGAGGCCTGGTCAACTGAGAGGGTCGTTGCCCAAACCAATCTGTGAGGGGAGGTCATTGTCAGGGACTCTGACCAGTCAAACCAACTCACTACCTAGAGCTTTGTACAAGGGGAGTAGTCAAGGATATTCTCAAAGAGTGGACTGGGAAGGAAAATAACATTCCCAGTGAATAATAAGAGCAAGAGCTTCTCATTATTGAGCATCTTCCCAATATGGGGAAAAATAAGACCTCTCAAAATAAAAGTCAATAGACTTCAACTGTGGCTTCCACCTGGGTACTCAGACCTAGGGAGCTGCTTGTGCCTGGTGTATGGTGAAGGCTCACTCTACAATGACAAGTGGGGTCAGCAGTGTGGAGAGTAGAGGGACAGGATGCAAAGTGGAGATGGATTTGGACAGCTTTGGCACTGTCGCTGAATGTGGGAGTAGGAAGTGCCTCCGGCTATCGTTTTATCTGGAGCCAGCCTCAGACATGCCAATACTGACACTTGAAGGGCATGATGGGTCTGGCAGCCTCAAAGATAGACTGTACCAGGCAGGAGGCACCTCTCCCTTTGGCCTCCAAACATGTTTTATGGGCTCCTATTGGCTTAGGCACACAAGAGTGAGGCCTGCTGGCCTGGTACTGCCCTGGCCTCAAGCTCTGCCATTGGAAATCTTTACTTGGCTTGGCGCTTACTGTGTGTACTTTGGAATCTGGCTAAATTGAAAGCCAGTGATCAGAGTTTATATAAATACACAGGAGTTGTTGCTCTTGCCCCACACAAGAGCCTATATCCGACTGTCCCCGTATCCCAACTGTAAAAGAATTGTGTGGAGAGAGAGTGTGTGCATTGGCCTCTGTGTCTTCGCCACAACAACATAAACACTAGGATGTCAAATTTTATCTCTTAATGCAATTTAACCCCATTGGCTTGGCTCAAATGCTGAGAGTTACTCTGCTAGTTAGCAGCCCGCCTTCCATGTTGTTCTTATTGCAGCCTGTGGTGTCATTAAGAAAACTTTTTCTGCTTAACCTTATTAACAATGAAGGCCTGTGGATTCTGTGTCTCCAAAATAAAAAGGCTATGGGCTACAGTGTCAACATTTTATATTTTAATTTAAATTATTTATTTTTTGTTTATTCCCATTTCTTTCTTAAAAGGATTAGCATTTGCTTACAAATGAGGACATTATTATAATATGTTATATACAGGGTGTCCCCAAAATATATCAGCACACTTTAACAGCTGATAGCTCAATTTTGAAGATGAAATGTACTTTAATAAACACTGCTTTATAATTATTCAAAATGTTTACATACATTTTTGGGACACCCTATATATTGTATTATGTATATTATATTATATTATATTATATTATATTATATTATATATATTGGTTCCCTTTTTTGTTTTTCTTTCTTTTTGTTATTTAGAGTAAAGAGACACTATTTTTCTATTTTTTCAAGTTTAAAGTTTCTTTGGTAATACTGCCCTGTTTATTTTTAAAGAATCTGTAATATTTATCTCTTTCTGCAGTTGGGACAAATATTCTAGTCCAGGAAGTAGCAAACTATGGCTGTGGGACAAGGCTGGCCAGCCACCTGGTTTTGTAAATAAAGTTTTATTGCAACACTGCTGTGCTCATTTGTTTATTATTGTCCATGGCTTTTGTGTTATAAGGTCAGAGTTGAGTTGCTATAACAGAAACTATAGACCCCAAAGCCAAAAATATTTTACTATGTAGTCCTTTATAGAAAATGTTTACTGACCTCTGCTCTAGTTCCTAGTCAGTATAATTCTAAAATATTATCTTACCTAAGTGAATTTATCCTGATTGGCACTGTGTGATGGTGTGTAGCAAGATGCATTCTCAAGCCAGCTCCCACTATGCATGATTAGAACTAAATCCCACAGTAAACTCTGGAAATGTAGAACATGCATCTGAGTTATCCTACCAGAGAAATGAGAGAACTGGGATATTTTTACACCAAATCTTGTGTCATTGACTGAAGGCTGCTCCTGCTCACATCTTCAAGACACGTCTGGCCTGCTCACGTCTTAAAGCAGCCTTCTTTGGCCGTGGGGGAAATCCTCAAGCAAAGAAATGTAGATACTGACATCTGGAAATAAAGTTCCAAAGGGGGGTGGGCTGGTGAGAACACTGTGTCATAGACTCTGGCTTTGAAGGGTGAATCTGAAATCCCTTTCAAAATTGTCTTTTAATTTTACTGTGGGATTTAACTTAAGGATTAATATAATCATATTGTGAGCTTTGGCAGGATTTGTTTTTTAATAAACTAATCTCATGTTTGGCTCTTAGATGTATCTATTTTCAGGTCTTAACCCATCTCCAGAAGGTTCCCTATATCTGCCTCTATGTGTATCCTCAATATAGGGCCATATGCCTGTCAGGGCTCCAGCTGCCTCCTCAAGACCAGAGCCATATTCCCACCACTACCTCAGCATCTCTAGTAGCCCTCTCATCCCACATACATATTAAATGGCATTCCTGTGCCTTCACACTATGGATTCTTCCAGGAGAGGAGCTGAAGCTGAGAAGAGCAGAGCATTTAAGCAATTAATTGACTTGCTCAGTGCTCCATATAGCCTCTGGAGAACCTGGTTCTGTTAATTCCATCAATATTGGTCAATTGGACTTGATAATGGAAGGACAAAGAGGGCCAGATAGGGGAGAAGTGATCATGATGACTATTTTTAAGCCAAATAAAGTCAGGCAAGCTGCTGATATGTTGCGATAGCATAGTGTGTTGGTATTATATAAATCTCTTGGTGATGAGGAAATATAAGCATCCCAGACCAATGGAAAGAACTACCACACCAGCAAAGATCCTCGCAGTATTAAAAAAACAAAAAAACATATTTCATGGAAAGGATTGAAACTGGCAAGGAGATTAGAAGACCTATTGTTTACACAGAAATAGCAGAGGGTTCTGGAAATATCACCTCTTTGGCTATTGTGCTTAGCATCATCATTGAAATATGTCTGAAGATATTTTAATAATCAGGGCAGGGCTTGTAGGTGCTTTGGGGTTTTGTCAAAAGTGGTCATAAGTTGTATTTCAAAAAGAGCTTTTAAGGAACCATCATGGATAATATACACAATGGTTAACATGGAGCCCTGTGTCAGTGGGTTGCCTTTGTCCATATTTGGTCACTGCTCATGGGTCAGTTAGTGGCCCACTGGTTTTTTTTTTTTTCCCATGGCCTTTCAGTAGAAAATGGAATCCCATCTAAATGACCTATGGTAATGTCCAGTTCTGGTGCAGAGATGTCCATCATCATGGACCTGGGGGACTTTGATGTCTATAGGAGTTGGAATTCTGAGTTGGCTAGTGAGATCAATGGCATTGAGACTAAAGAGGAAATAGCTCAGGGCCCCTCCAAGTATGACAACTGCTTTCATTGTTGTGGAATAGCAAAGACTATTGGACTCTAGACTGCTGGCTAAATACTTCTCTCTGTCTTCCCAATGGGACACTTAGTAAAGGCAAACTCAGTGGCGATGGTGATGAATTTAATCTTAAAAAAAAAATAACACACCTCAATCATAAAATTCCAGGGGACACATGAAAATCGAACTGGGGAATCAAATCTTCTAACTGCCAGGTTTCTCTACTTTTAAATTGATCATTGTAGACAAAATCAGAACAGCCCATAAAGAAGAAAATTTGAACAACTGGTTACACTATGGGAAAAGCTAGAGTTTCTTTTAGATCTGAATGGAGGCATCTGTTTTGTTTAAATTAAGGGTCTGTAAGTACCAGTCAGGGACCACGTTGACAGCCATTCCTGTAATAAAGTAATAAATCATGGGGATGGTTAAGGAAGCAAGGAACACCACATTCTTCCTTTGCTTAACCAATTAAGCAATAAGCCATCTGGGTCTTTCTGTTAATTACTGTCAAACACAACTTATTCAATTGAATTCAGCCTTTTCTTTAATTATATTAATTCATTCCAGCAACTTCAAATACCCACAATACCAATAGTAAAGTTCCTTTAAAAAAAATAAAGGTCTTGTTTAATTTTTATTTTTCAATCATTAATAACATTTACAAGCTAATAATATCCTTTATTAGCTTGGTCTCCACTTCAAAATATTAGAGGAATTCATTTAAATATAGACAAGCCTGAAAGACGACGGCGATGGCTGGAATTTCTTCTCTTGATGGGAGGATTGACTTTATGTAGATCAGTGCTACCCAACAAAACTGTTTGCGATGATAAAATGTTCTATATCTGTGCTCACTAATACAGTTGCCTCTAGCCACATGTGACTATTGAGCACTTAAATGTGACCAGTACAACTGAAGAGCTGAGTTGACTTTTTTTTTTTTCATTTTAATGCATTTACATATAGAAAGCCACATGTGGCTAGTAGCTACTAGCACAGGTCTAAATTGTCTTCTGAGAAAGGAGAAATGCAGTGAATGAATCAGACTTAAGTAGGAGAAGGAATACATAATTATGATAGACATTGTTTAGAAACCCTCACTTCCTATCTAGTTTTCCTTATTTGAAACACACTGCATTCTGAAACAGCCCAAAGGAGACCAGCATCTGAGGGGAGGTTTCTAAGCTGAGCATGTGAAGAGGGGACTCTATCTGGAGGAGAAAGGGGTTTGAATGGTGACTCCTGAATAGCAGAACCAACCCACTCATCCACACATATGGTCACACTAGGCGGGGTCACAGCAAGGAGAGCCAATGGCTCTCCTCTAGTGGAGGTGTGTTCCTCCCACAGTTGTCAATGTTCAACTTGTGAGCACACTCAGGGGTCCCAGGCAGTTCCTATAGGCCAAGAAATGGCGCTATCACCCTCCCCTCCACCACCCCTAAATATTAACACCCAACTCTTGTTCCTCTCATAAGAATTTTGGCTCAGACACTGGTATTTCCCCTCAGAGAGGTTTGCCTCTTTGCAAAGGTTGCTATTTCTGATCCAGTCAACACAAACCCTGTAACAGCATCGGGAGAGTTTCTCAAGTGTACACACTTTTGTTCCTGGGACTCCTCAGTCTGAGCTGACCCTTCTAAAGACCAATGGCTAAAGAGAAGTATATTGCAGGAGAATCTGGTTGTAGTTAGCCAAATTGGAAAAGGGCTAGGGCAGGGTGAATGGAGGTAGAAAGTTCTGAGAAAATTCTCATTAACACGAAAAGCTGCTTTTCAGCTGTGAGGCTGAGCTGGAGAGTTGGTCCAAAGCTCTCTTCCCTCTTCTCTCCAATCCTGCTCTTCTCTCAGTAGCTTCCCTTCCTTCTTCTGAGCTAGGGCTCAACCAGAGAACATGAAATTTGTCCTAATAGGCTTAATCCAGAGTTTTTTGTATGCCAGGCCATATGCTCTCTTTACACTTTAATTTACATAGTTGGTTACACAGACAATCCAAGGTAAGGTCATTTGAAATGAATTGATCAATTGGACTTATGCATCCTGGAAGTGCTAGCAGAGAATGTCCAGGCCTCTCTTCTTAGTCAGAGATAAAAGCAATTATTACATACCCAATGAAGAAAATGAAGAATCTTCTGTACTATGTAATGATCATCTACCAGTGATGAAGACAATGTATATATATTTTTTTCTTTTTTGAAAATGGCCCGAGCAGTCAATGGCATAGGTGCAAGAAGGGAAAGACTGTCCATAAGCATTCATGGAGCCTTCTTTTCTGGTCTCACAAAGAGTACAAACACAGAGGATGTGCTTCATGAATATACATGCTTTCTTAGCTCTCTTGTCACTGAACTGTGAGGACCAATCTTCTCTTTTCCTTCAGACACGCAATCATCGTTCATCCACAGCGCTGACATTGTCAAATCGCCACAGCTGGCTGGCTTTTCCATCACACTGACGCAAGTACAAATCTTTATTGTTTTCCTGCACCACAGCTTCCATGCATTTCCCAGAAAGAATGTGAACAATCATTCCATTCTGAAAAGTGAGAAGGGAACAAAAGAAGAACCAGTCAGTTCCCTTCAGTCAGTCAGCAAAGAAGGAAATTTCTAAGATTTGTACTAATCATCTATAATAATAAAAGGGTATTATGCTAATTAGACTGGACTTCCTTCCGGATGACCTTCCAGAGGAAGCCGAGTTGATGAGGGAAGCCTGGGTCCCGGGTGCCAGAGGGAAGCTAGTGCTGACAGCCGTTGGAAGGAAGGCCTACTCTTCTACAAACTTTGTGCACTGGGCCTCTAGGTAAGAGAATGTTAGGGTAATGCAAACTGGCCTGGTGAGGAACTATAGTATTTTGGTGAAAATGTAGATAATTCAGATAATTCTGAAATGTAGATATTATTCAGAGCTTTGGGGCCTTTAATTAAGTTATCTTTACTGTGGTTGGGAAATTATACCATATCTTAGAGGGTTCTGGTTAGTGGAATGCTCAGTATAAAAATTATGTTCAGCTGAAACCCATTTGGCTCAGTGGATAGAGCGTCAGCCTACGGATGAAGGGTCCTGGGTTCGATTCTGGTCAAGGGCATGTACCTTGGTTGCAGGCAAATCCCCAGTAGGGGGTGTGCAAGAGGCAGCTGATCAATGATTCTCATCGATGTTTCTAACTCTCTATCTCTCTCTCTTCCTCTCTATAAAAAAAATCAATAAAATATATATTT